TTTTTCTACTTAACACAAGTGAACAAGGAGTCTTTAACTTCGGCGCAAGATAACTATAAGAACGAAGGAGAAATCGGGTACTTTACGCTCTGTTATTTTATTTGAAATATGCCTTAGAGTCCAAATATGAAGTAATATTTCATAAAAATTGTTCAGTTTAAGCGCAAATCACGTGACACGAACTTAAAGGAGCAGTGTCTCTGCAAACAGGTTTTTTGCCCATTACCTTTGTACACATTTTTGAGGGACAATTTTGGTAACCTTGCAATGTTTGATCGATGGCAAAATAATAGCTAACAAAGACCCTGATGCAAGATTTATAGTTAATGTATGACGTCACGATGACGTCATTGCCTTATTTTATATTCATTTTTGAATATTTTATATTTTCCCATAATTCTATGATGACAATGATTTATTATTAAATTTTGAATATTTAAATATTTCGTTAAATATATAAAAATCCATATAAAATTAACCGTGGCCTCCGCAACATTCTGTTTGCAGCAAGTGCTAGGATATATAATATGTGGTTGAAACCGGAAGCAAGCTTTTTGTTTGAAAGTGGTAAAAGCCATTAAGTTTTTTTAACGGAATGAGTCTGTCGGTGTTAGTGCTGGGTTGAAACCCTGCTTATATCCTGGAGACGAGGTAGCGCTTCAGGCAAATATTGAGCATATTTCGTGATGATGACGTCATCAGGAGACAAGTCACGTGACATTAACGGGGAACTCATCAAACCACTATACCTCGAAAAGTACATGTCTGATGCGGTTGAAACTTTGTGTGTGGCTGGAAAGGGAAGGGTTTCAGACCCAAATTGATCTGATTTGATTCTACCTCATCTGGTGACAAGTCATGTGACATTAAAGAAATGCAATTCTTATAACTGACATCACATCCACTCGTGATGACGTCAACAGTCGAAGAACCCATATATGTTATCTTTAACCACTTCGTGCCGGGGCAATTTTCAATGTTGATGATGCTGGGCCGGCATGACTATCATTTTTCCGTTTTCAAAATCCTTCCCAAAATTCATCATTTCATTTAACGGTCGTTTATAGCTGGACGAAGTAATCTTCAGGCACTACTCTAAGTTGATAGGTGACCCTCATTGACGCCTGAGTATTTCAGCCAGGCTTGCAGCCTTGTAAACAGAGCCCAGATTGTGCGGTGTTATATAACTGTCTTTTGTTCACGAACCTGGCTCAGTGCACTGCTGACCTCTTTCAATAGGGGCCAGATTAGCGTGCAGCCGTGCTGTGTGGGTCATCGCTGCGGTGGTGGAGCGCTTTTGTCCCCGGTGGTAATCCGCTCGCTCTTAATGCCCCAAACCCTTGTATAGGGTTTCAAAACAAGGCTGGATTATNCCCAGCCACCCATATAAACCATAAGTCTCCGATCCCGGAGTCCCAGGCAGGAAGTGATTAAGTAAGTATTATAATTTTTAGACTATTGTGAAAAAGCTCCACAAAGTGCAAAGCAATCTCTCAACTGTGAGAATAATATCACGTGACAAGTCATATTAGATTATCTTCTCAAGTGGACATCCAAATGCATTGGTTGAAATTGATTATAAATTAAACTTTTTCAGGGTATATGTCACGTCCAGAATACTAAATTGTTCATTTTTACTCTCTCATAGTTTCTTGATGCCACGTTTTTTCATCACAATTTCCAATACTTATTTTGTTGGTGAAACAGTCTCGAAACAGCTCTGTATTTGTACTTGTTTACAAACACTTCTCTTTAGTTTTTTATTCTTTTCCTTTTTCAGACTTTCCCCATAGGGTTTCTACACGTTTTCTTCCACTAGTCAACTTTGGCAGTTTACTAAATCTGATCGACCTCAAACTTAGCAGACCTTTGGACAATCATCCAAGGATGGTCTTAGAAAAAATTTGTGATGATGACGTCATCACATGATTTCTTTTTGAATTTTGAATATTTCATTTTTTCCCTTTGACTTTGTACACGTTTTCAAGCCACATTTTTCAAACCTTCACAATGCTTCATCGCTATCCAAGTGATAGCCAACAAAGACCTTCACTTAAGTATTATTCTAAAGAAATGACGTTATGATGACGTCACATGTTGAATTTTCAATATTTTTTTCAGCCCACTGACTTTGTACACATTTTCATGCCAGCATTTCAGTTAGTTTGAAAGGTTTGATCAACTTCAAAGTTACAGACAACAAAGACCCTATTAAATGAATTTTGCTGAATATACATGTATGACGTTATAACGTCATCACAAATTTTAAAATTGATTTTGGGATATTTAATCTTCCCCATAAGTTTTGTACATGTTTTTCAACAGCCTGTCTTCGGCAGTCTGGCCAATTTGACTTACATGTATGTTCTTCCATGTACATGTACACTTGAAGTCCCTCAGGAAGAGAGGCTCCCAAAGAAAAATCGTCAAAATGACATGATCGGGGGTTACATGACATGAGATTAAAGCTGCAGATTTCTTCATAGGCTTGGTAGACGTTTTTCTACCACGCAATATTATCGATCTTAATGAGAGTAGCCCTGAACTTCGGCCGAGGATTACTACAGTACATGTATGAGAACGAAAGAAAAATCGTCTTTTTTTTCATGTTTGCTCGATTGCAAATACAATGTACAGTATGTAAGAGTCCAAATATCAAATAATATTTCATTATTTTTTTCCAGTTGAGAAAAAAATCACGTGACATGAAATTAAAAGGAGCAGTTTTCCTGCAAACGAGTTTATAGCCCATTGACTTTGTACACGTTTTCGAGCGACAATTTTGGTAACTTTACAATGTTTGATCATTGGCAAAGTAATAGCTAACAAAGACCCTGATGCAAGATTTATAGATATTGAATGACATCACAATGATGTCAATGCCTTATTTTATATTGATTTTTGAATATTTTTTTCCCCATGTTTTGTACAGGTTTTTCTAATTAACACTAGTGAACGGGTAGTCCTTTAGGCGTGAGGTCAAAATACAAACACTTTTGAAAGCATTCAATGCTTTGTAAACACTAAGCCCCACCGACGGTCAACATCGATCAGACGAACGCTTCAGCGATGCTGGCCAAACCGTTGCGGTTGAGTACACCGTGCACTCTGCAGCTTCTAGTGAACAATGGACAGCTCATCACATTACCGCATATTAAACTTTTGCGGTCTGGTAGATGAGTCATTACAATAGCTCTTTACTTTGCAGCTCAACAGGAGGATATAGATCAGCAGACTGTTTCAATATCCTGATAAAACATGTGTATTGAGTCGTTGTGTTGTACTGTCAGTTTCCAGAACAGTCTTTTCAGGTCTCGATACCCTGTAATCTTGATATTTTGTCTCGGTATTGAGAGTCAAATACACACTTAACTGTATACCTGCAGAATTGATTATTCTAACTCGAAATAGTATTTACCTGAATCATACATGACGTAGTGTTCTGTTCGCCAACATGTAGTAACGGATAAAACCTCTTTTTTTTGCCCGTGTGCACAAGCTGGGACTCAGCATTGGGCAATAGCAGGTTTTCATGTGTTGGATCGAGGAAGACATGTACGTGAACTACGCGCTTTCCACTTCGCGGCTGCATCTGCACGATTTAAGGATACACATTTTTTCTTGAAGTCAGTAGTACATGTGTGCACGTTGCAATATGTTTTATATGTACGATTCTTTTGTAATCTTTGTATACTTTGTGGCTGCACAAAATTCATGTTGGAAAACAAACATGTCGGGTTTTATACTAATCTG